AGGTAAACCAGCTATGCAGGTATAATGCTAAAACCTGCTCCCCAATCCATATGTTCTAATTACACTGCAAATGGAGATTATTTCTGAGAGATGACTTTTCCACTAGTCAGGTCTTGCTGTGGCCAGTTTTAAAGCCCCATTTATACCAATACTCACTAATTGTTTCAAACAGGACCTGTGAACACAGGCTCTAGGCCTCCTTCACGCTTTCCCAGCAGGAGTCAAAATGCTTCCACAGTGAGCGGATGACAGAGAAAGCAGCAGCTTCAAGGAGGATTAGCAACCAGCATGCTCTTTCAGAAAGAAAATTTAGCTGTTTTCAAAACATATGATTTTTTTTCTTTCAGCTTATGTTTGTCTAGAGGGAGAAACTAAATAAATGGCCTTAATTCTGTAAAGGCTTAAATGATATGTTTTATTTGATCAAGTCATTCCCCAGCTGAAAATACTTTGGTGGTATCCCATAGCTTTGAAAACAGAAATTCAAGTTTCTTACTGTAGCACAGACAAAAATCTACGTGATTTGGTTCCTGCCTACCTCTCTAGCTCCACAATTTCCAAAGTATACCCAGTAGAATACCAGTCTTGGGTTTCCGTGGAAAAAACAAAAAACAAAAAACAAAAAACAAAACTATTTGATGGACAAAGAAATTTGGAAAATGCTTCAAACTCTAACCATTCCCACACCTCACTATGCGCACCCAAGCCATGGCGAGGAAGGACCCTGAGAAGGCTTTTGAGTAATCCTTGCTGCTTAACTTTGTTCAGTTCACTGTCTCACAAATTCATTTGGCCGCAGAAGGCTTTTTTCTCCATCTAAATCTATTTCACACAGACACTTTCAGAAATGTTACACTGGCCTTACCTTCTCCCAGCTTTAGGCATAATGAACTTGTTTCTTGAATTTCTCATGTTCCCTCGGAAATACCATCCTCCTAGCGCTACTTGTAGTTTACTTCTAGTTGACTTTCAAAGGTCAACTTCATCATCTCCTCTCAGTCTAGATTCCCCTCCTCTGTGCCACAATAACAATTATACAAACCTTTATCAGAGCACTTAACAACTGTACTGTAATGTCTGATTTGTTTTTTTTGCCTTCCCACAACAGATAAGTTTAAGCTCCTCAAGGTCAAGGAAGATGTTTTTCTTTGACCCTGTATCCTTAATAACTCTGTGCCTGGCACAGGGTAGTCTCTCAATAAATGGTTTTTAGATGTTTTATATACGTGGGTTCCATCTTAAGCAGGGCTTTATACTGATACAATACTATATTTATAAAATCTTTTATCTTAAGGACCACTCCTGATTCCTTTACCTGTTTATATTGAAGTGTCTATCATTAGCACAACTGGTCACTTGTAATTATTGTTCAATAGCCTAAATAATAGTTTGAGGTTTCTGTTCTGCATTCAAAAATTCCCTGACATGTCGGTCTGCATCTATGAGTATTTTAGAGCCCGCATCTGTTAACTTCTCTCGCGGCGATTCATTTCCTCCAGTGTTTATGATGTTCTATGTGAGTTTGTCTCTGTAGGGAATTTTGATAGAAATCCCATACATTCTAGGGTGTAAATGTGTTTCTTCAAGGTGATTTTGAATTTGTTTGTGCGATGGCCCCAGGGTTTCAAGAATACAGACCTAGTTTCTGTGTTAAATCCTTGGCTTGGGATTTCCAAAGTATATGGGTGGCGAAAATTTCCCACAAAAGATTTTTCTATCCCTCCCAGACTCTTGGATAAGCCCCCTCCCTGGACTCTTTTTGGGCCATGGGCAAAAGACCCTTCTCATGAATGGGCAGCCCTTAAGAAGTCCAGCTTTATACAGGTTCTTGGTTACAGCTCCGAGCACGGTCAGGTCCAAAAGCCACGCTTCCTACACCCACACGAGGCATTAAAACATGGGCCTTCAGACTCACAGTTTCATTCACTTACAGGTCTTATACCAACCCCGGGCCACTGAAAGCATTCTGGCTTTGGGGGTCACCTGGGAGTTCCCTTTCATTTTTCTGAACTATATTTTGCTATGTTTATCATGGGAAAGGGGTCCTTGTAAATCCATCTTCCATGTTGCCAGAACCATTCTCCTAAATACATTTTGAGCCCATTCACTCTTCCCCATTGCTTCTATGGCCACCTCAGTGCAGGCACTGCTCACTCTCATGCACTCCCTTCTGCAGTGGTCTCTGTACTGATCAGCTCACATCCAGTCCTGTCCATTCTCCCCCTGTCCAATTCATATGGGATAATGCTACCAGAGTTGAAAAGCCAGAATGTTTTAAAATGTGGGTCAGATCATGTTATTTTTTGCTTAAAATCACCTACTGGCATGTATCCCAGCAGTTCGACTCCCAGGTATATACCCAAGAGAACTGAAAACATATGTCCACAGAAAACTTGTACATGCATGTGTGGAGTTACATTATTCGTAGTAGCCAAAAGGTAGCAGCAACCCAAATGTCCACCAACTTTTGAATGGCAAACAAAAAGCAGGCTATCTACCAAATGGGATAGTATTTGGCCAATAAAAAGGAATCAAGTACTGACACAGGCTACAACACAAATGAACCTTAAAAACATAATGCTAAATGAAAGAAGCCAGACACAGAAGACCACATATTGATTCCATTTATATGAAATGTCCGGAATAAGCAACTCTAAAGAAACAGAGAGTAGATCAGTGATTGCTTAGGTCTAGGGGCAAAGGGGTGATAGGCAGCCAGCGAGGGACGTGGAGGAGTGGCCAACACCTGAAGGGCACTGGACTTATTTTTAAGGTGATAAAAATGTTCTAAAATCGACTGTGGTGATGGTTGCACATACCTGTGAATATACTAAAAACCACTGGATTGTGCACTTTAAAGGGGTAAATTATATGGTATGTGGATTTTATCTCTATAAAGCTATTCAAAACAGCTCTTCCAGTGGCTCATCATGGTTCTTAGCATGTAAATCCAAAATCTTAATCTGCGTCATAGAGCTCCTAGCTACTGCTCTCAAGCCTCATCTCAGACTCTGCTTGCCCTGACTTGTCACTTCAGTCACAGTGTCTGTTTTCAGTGTCTCTGAATGGCCTTCCCACCATTTAGACCACCACGGGACACTCCCACAATGCCAGCAGCACTTTCCCACCTCAGTGTCTTTTCAAAAGCCATGTTTTCTGCCTGGAATGCTCATCCCCTTCTCTTCACCTAGCTAATATTTGTCCACAGATCTCAATTTGCACATCATGCTTAGGATAACCTTCTCTGATCCCTCAGGAGAAGGGAAGTCTTATGTAAGCAGATTTTCCACAATAAATACATTGTCGTAACAACAAATATGACCCCTTCATACTACATGTCACAAGGATAATTATTTAATGCTTGTTCTTTTTCACTAGCATGCATTCCCCCAGGGCTGAGATCACATTTATCTGGCTCGCTGCTGTATCATCTGGGTCTGTCATAGTAGTATCTGGCAATGGCTAAGGATTACTATTTTGAAAAGAACGAATGCTAGTACAGATCAGGTGACTTGATCTTGAGTCACAGCTCTTTTATATCTTCCTATTTATCTTGTGCCATCTACCTTATTATCTAATAAATATTATTTATTATGTAATAAATATCTAATAGCTCCCTACTTATTATCTTGTGTCGCCCTGAAAATGTATGTATCTTAATATATCACATTTGTAATTCATTAATATCTTAACTTTTTTATTTTTATATTTGCTGCTCCCTGAAGAAATGTGTCTAGTTATAATATGTGGCACATAGCAGGTACTCAATAAGCATTTGTGGACTGAATAAAACTTGTAAAACAAAATCAAAATCTGTAGCAGGTGCCATCTTATTGGCTCTAGGTTATAAAATTCCCAGAAGACAGTAACCATCTCTCTAGGCTTCTCTACATAACAGTACATGTAACTAAGTATTTAATAATGCAATTTGATAAATAAACTGATTTATTCAACCTTTCAGGGATTATGATCTTAATGATGAATTGAACTCATTTTACTTGTCTACGCTCAGAAAGATTTTTTAAAGGGAGTTTTTTCAGCTGTAAGTAACAAAAGAATACTTCTGCATTTAGTTTCTAGATGAAACTAACAGTATCTAAATTACATCTGAGCCATTACATTAAAACCAAAACATTAAATATTCAAGATTAACTTATTGAAATTTCCTTAGCAGGAAGCCAATTAAAAGATGACAACTGTGGACTCTGGAACCTGTATTCTTCAATTTTTATGTATAGAAAAGAAAAAAAAGAAAGGAAGGAAAGGAATGGAAGAAGGAAAAATATTATTTTTCAACTCACTTAACATTGCCCTTCCATTTCTTCTCAAAATGTGTTTTAGAGCTGTTTTTACAATAAACAAACACCTAAGAAGTTTAACTCATTGTATCTTCATGCATTCTATTTTTTTATACTTCTTCAAGTGGGAGAAAATGGCCCATTCTCCTTGGTCACATCTTCCAAGGTCTCTTAATCCTGAGAATCAGGAAGTTCTTAGTTCCGGCCTTAAAGCTCTCCTATTCTAGTCACAACTGCTCTCTCATGATTTTTCTCTAAAGAAATTGCAGAACAGCCAGGCACTATCCTTCTACCATATCATCATATATTATTCATCTCCTTTTCTGGTATTCTTATCAAATTAATTAAAACTTTATAGCCTAGCTATTTCTCTGAGCCTTTTATCACTCTACTGCTTTCCTTTGCTGCCAGAGAAGCTGTCACAGACTATTCAGAATAAAACAGAACGTCCTTCTCTGGGCTTCAGGTTCTCCATCACTAAGTGAGGAGGTAAAGCCTATTGCTCCTAGAAGACAAACGGAAAAAGATGAGGCTATATCCATAATAGACAAAAATCTCCCAGAGGCAAAATACAAAACCCAAACTGCAATATAAAGATCTGCTTTCATAAATGTGTCTGAGCTCGGGGAAGAGACCTGACACCTACTCCTTTACCTCCTACCTCAAAGCAGAACCCTGCAAGGAAATTCGTACATGACGTACCTCCTCCTCTCCCGGGTTTCCACAGAGGAGTCCGTTCCAGGAGTGGAGAGCAGAGTAGCAGCTGTAACCCCGTTGGCAGTGTTAGGAGGAGGGCGATTAGTGATCACACAGAGCGGGGTGCTAGAAGAGACATTGTCTGCTGTTTTCTCTGCGGTTGAGTCAGCCTGGGATTTGTAAGGAGTCCTGGAATCAGAAAAGACACATGCAGAAAGAGGTCAGGCGTGCCACACCACCAGGCCCTGCACAGACAGCGGGCTGGAGAGGCTTAGCGAGAGAATCTTCTCGCTCAGATTTTGTTTGTTGGGTTTTTTAAACTCTGAGCACTTGAATCTTAGTATGATTACATATTCAGTCTGATATTCTCTGCCAGAGGATTTATGTTTTATGAATTTCTTTTTGCCCAAGATTAAAAATTTTTTTTAACTAGCTATGGCACAAGGCAAAATAGTGACATCTGCAAGAGTGCTTTAAATGACTCCCGAGAACCATCTGTCTCCACATGCACACAGAGGCCGGGCCTCTCCACACATGCAAATGACACTGGAGTCACTTACGGTAGCTCCACCTGCCCCTTAGATCCTGGCAGTGGGAGTCTTTCTGGTCGCCCTCGGCCTAGTCTGGATGACCATCTTCTTGGCTTAGGCAGAGGTGTGTGGCGAATGCTCTGAGATCTCAGCGTGCTTAGCCCTCCCTCACCTGGCTCGGCAACTGTCCCCCTTCCACTTAACCAAATGCCTAAGTGTCTAGATCCATAACTGCACACACGTAAAACTGAAACTAAAACTAGTAAGATTCTATATGTAACCTTAACTAGAGTCTTTCCAACAGCAAGCTGTATAATTAAACGCATTTACATGAAAACAACATCTTTGTTTCTTAACAAAGAGTTGAGAGCAACCATTGGCTCTCTATCCAAAAAGCTATCATTTGTGATGTCACAGCTTGTTGCTGGGGTAACAGAGATCCAAAATTGATATTCTCAGAGATGGGAAAAGCAGTGAAAATAATGAATGCTAAAAATCGTGTTTTTTTTCTCACCTACTCACAATTAACAGGAATGCTTGTAACTAAGCTCACTTTCAAATAATCACATTATTAGAATAAGCTCAAGAGAAATAATCAGAACATAAAAATCTAAATATGGTGCCTACATGCAAATATAAAAATAAAACAATTTTAGAGTGTTACCAAAAAAACCCAAGCCACTTTTCCAGAAGCAATTAATGGCTCAGAAAAAAGGTGAAATTTTATATTGCTTTTTTTTAATTTAAAAAAATGAAGGCAAATAATTCCTCAGATGTACAAGACACATGAGTCTATAGAAAGTTCTAATAAAATTAGCCAGAAACAAAGCTATAAAAAAATTACATTTATCAAAACCTTACCTGAAATTCTTTTTAGATTAATAACATGTTTTGGTCTCTCTGCAATTCTTACACTGTAGAAATGCCAAAGATTTTATTTTATTAAATTGCAGAATATGACTTTCACTATTATTTTGAAATGTAGTATATAATTTTTACAAGTAGATTGTTAGAAGCAGAATAGGAAAAACTACAGAGCAGGGATCCGAGACTTTGAAACCACTTGGGGCTAAATTTAAGCCAAGTTAGCCATCTTCATCTGTAAAATGGGGACAATGATACCTTACAACACAGGGATCTTGTGATGATTGAATAAAATAAGGTATGTAGAACACTTAGGATAGTGCCCAGGATAAAATAAAAAGTCAGTGGCAACAAAACAGTGAAACAGACAATAGCTCTGAAATGGACAAATTAATGTTCAAATCCTGCCTCAGTTCCTTACTAGCTGTGTGACCTTAGCAGGTGATTAAGTTTTTGGTCTCAATTTCCTCATCAACAAAATGAGAATACTATTTCATACACTAGAGGGCTCTTTATAAGACTATAAATAATATATGTGTGCCTGAGATAGCCCGTTGCCTAACATATTCATTTTCCTCTTCTTCCTTAAGTAACAAGACCTATACAGTACTGAAGGCAGCAAAGTTCCTAGTTAAAAATCCACGGGCTGCTAGAGGTTGCCAGGGAGACATTAGCAGAGAATTAGCACTTTGGGAAAATTCTTGCTTGATTCAGAGGCATTCCCTCTTTGCACACTTCCCCCTTCCCTCCTTCTTCCTGCCTAGAATGCAGCCATAATGGCTACAGTGCTGGCAACTACTTTGGACCATTAGGCGACTCACAGAAATGGAAGCCATGATCTCAGATTTGTAAAGCAGGAAGATGGCAGGAACTGGGATCTTTTAATGACTTTGGAGCTGTATGCCAGCCCCGCCTACTGTTGGACTTTCTTACGTGAGAAAAAAGTTAACAAACTTTTAACATATTTAAGCCCCTATTATTTGGATTTACTGTTATATGTGAGTAAACTAAACCCCAATATAATTTTTGTATAGTACCTAACCCATGGGGTTCAACAAATGGTAGCTATTATCATTTCTTCCCAGTCCCAGCTCTTAAAAGTTAATCAGGTAACATCTCCACAGTTTCTTCATCTATGGGGATAATATATTTACTATGCCTGTGCAAATGGATTTTTATGAGGACCTGATAAATTTAGTTACACAATATTATTATTATATATAGTTTTATATATATGTGTGTGTGTGTATAGTTACACAGGATTAGTAAAAATCCATCATATGCCTGTCCTTCCTCATAAGCAACTGGACCTAATATATTTCTAAATAATTATACAGTATTATTATAAATAATTCATCAGAAGCCTATTCCTCCTGGTCAAATAAATAACTGCCACTTATTTTAGGGAAATTAATCTAATAAACTGACAAATACCAATCAAGCATCACCATCAGCGGCATTCTGGCAGCAACACCAATTTCATGAACGTCTTTCATTTCTTTGTCAGCTGTGGCAGCGAGACCCTTTGCCACACCCAAAAGCAAAGGGTCTCCGATCACACTAAAGGATTAAAAACCACAGTGAAAATCACAGCTGAAGTCCTGCTGCACCTGTGCAATGACACTCTGCCCCCGCTACCGCTCAGATGAACTAGAAACCAAGAAGATACTTCCCTGGAACAAAGTTTAGACAAACGCAAATCTCTTTCTTCCTACTGTGTTTCCGGCAAAACACTTTCATTGGCTGGGAATTTTCAGAGGGACATACAAGGCTTTTGGAACAAGAGGTGACATTCCTTCTGTTTTGGATTTGTATGCCATCTTCCAAAAACCCTAAACATAAGAGATTCCTACTCATAACTACTGGAAAATTAAAATAAGTGAAATATGGGGACATTCTTAATATATGGCTTACCATAATAGTATGAGCCTTAAACTGCAATCACAACTGGTGAGGGTACTGAGATATGAAAGCAGTCATATTAAGTCGATGCCCACCCACCAAACACAAAGATATATACCCCACGATTATTCAGTAAGCAACTGCCGACTCATTAATACAAGTCAAAGCAAAAGCGATCTCATTAAATTATGGACATTCTCACAGGAATTCAAATGTGCTTCCACAGTGACTAAGTCCCTTTGGTTCGAATCTCGTGTGCGTACCCAGAGGCATTAGCTTTGGTGGTGGTAACTCAAATGGCTCCAAAAAGCCTTACCTGCCGCGGTGTAGGGACGCAGTAGTGTCTGCACTGACTGGTGCAGGGCAAGAAGAGGCAGGCTGCCACTTGCCGCCCCGAGAGGTAGATGAACCAATCGTAATGGGTGAGGTAGCAGGAGATGAATTGCGATTGGCTGAAATGTAGGGACTTGTGGGGTCACTACTTCTACCAAATGAAGCACTGCAAAACAGCACACAGTCACATTCTTCAGGACATGCTGCTCACTCACCACTTCCCAGTACCACCTTCCCACCCACACTGGGCACTTAAAAGGAATGTAGACCAAAGAGAGGGTACAACAACTGGGAAGTGGAGGGTCAACCCCAGCTAGAGCCGCGTCACTGGCAGCGAGCAGGCATCTGTCAATCATCCAACAGAGCGAAGGAATGTGGAGGCAGAGAGATGGTGTGCAAGAAGAGGAAGCAGGAGGGTGGAATATACGACCAGAGTGGAGGCTGAGAAAGGGAAATAATAGGAAACAGAGTAATTTTATTAAAAAAGTAATTCCCAATAAACCCCAAGGCAAAAAGTCATGCAACCCCAAATGCCTACCTGCTACAGAATGAGAACTGCAAAAGCTAAAGACCAGAATCTGCAGAGGCTTTGGATTTAAAATTAAAGAGAGAAAGTGTGAAGTTCTGTGGGAAACAATGTATTTGAGGACTGTGATTCTTTAGCCTAAAGCAAAAATGCCTTTAGGGGGATTTAAAGTTCTAAGTCTAGAAAATAACATTGTGTAGGCATCAGAAGACAAGTCATCTTTGTTTCAATTGAAGATAGGTAAGAAGCACGTCAGCTGAAGCCAAAAATTATTTGAGTTAGAATTGTTTTTAAGAAACTTCTTAACTATGACAATCATGAGACATTTGAGAGAGTGACCAAAAAAGATGGAGCCTACTTTGAAAAAGATTAATTTTACTGGGCCTTATGAAAGGAATGTCTACCTAAAGACAAGAGATGAACTAGAAAATGGAAAGTATGCTGAGCTTTGGCACAGCTCAAGAATGACAAACGTTCACTCACACGTTGTGTTTTAAATAGTGATGGCAAATAATTCTTTCTTTTTGGAAAGATCATAAAGTAAGATTCTGTAAAATTAAAAAGTACTTTAGGGTTATGAAGAAGAGCTTTGGAAATGCAATGTATGAAGCAAGTTGTAGATCTCTTCTCAAAAAGTGCTCACATAATTAAACATGCTTTGTATCCTAGAGGCAGTCCCTTTCTCCTTTGTTCACCACAATTAGGCTTAACTACCTCTTTCAAACCAATGCTACTCACTTGACCCATTTGCTAATGATTTAGATCACAAAAATCAACAACCCCACCACAAAATAACAACATGCCTGGAAATTAAATGGCAGCTTTCTCTTTCTCAGATCTAGAACATGACTTTCTTAGAAAAATTTTCTTGGTCTTGGGTACAACTAAAAGGAGAAATAATGTGTCTAGTTAGAAAATGGCCTTAGCCTTGAAGACAAATAGATGACAGCCTTATTAAGCCAAAAACACTGAGTATGTATTAGAAAGCTTCAGTGAGATCATTGAATTGTACCTGTAGTCTTTGGAAACTGAGCTCTTTCTTACAGGATGTATCTCTAGAACTGAAGAATATTAAAAGGCAACAGTGGTTGCTCATTTTACAGTTTACTAGTTCTCATGTTCCAAAATTAAGTGGTTGACAAGATTCTTCCAATCAAGGGGAAGTAAGTTTTGATCTCAAATACACAGTCAATGGCCAAAGCCTGTTTCTAGGGAAGACAACCAACTATAAGAAACCTAACGTTGAAGCCTATGGCATGAAGAGACAATTGCAGGGGTTAAGAAGTGGCAGTGAAGAAAGAATTCAAAGTAAGCAATGAGAATCAGATTCTCCCACATCAGCAGCAAAGTTCAAATTTAAATATGAATTAAGTGTATCGTATGGCTTAATGGCTCCGGCAAAGGGGCCTTTGCTTGCTGGCTGGTACATGGCAAAGAAAACAACTGCAGAGAAAGGAATATAGATGAGAAAAGCAGAAGGAAACCCATGTACCTTCTCTGCACCAAACTTGCGAGTTTCACATCTTGATGGATCTGAGGGCCATTAAAGTCATAAAAAAAAAAACAACTCAAGTCCCTAAATTAACAGGCTTCAATATGACACTTCTTTAATGCAATATAAAACTATCCCCATTTCCCACCCTCCTCACCACCCTACAGGGTCCCTCCCTTCCACCCCACAAAACTATAACTCGAGATGAGAATTACTCTAGTTTTAGAAAATAGAGACATAGCAACTGGACAGGGGTGATTTAAATTCAGTCCTGCTCAGAGATTACTAGAAGTCACTTCTGGTTCAAGATTTTAATAGCACTGTGAGGATGGAGTATAAATTCAGTCTGTCTGTGGTGAGAATTTGGAATTAGCTTACTTTAATTGAGTTAATAAATAAATTTTAATTTAAAATTAGTCAAGATGTTAGTTCCAAGAAATCTAAAAGTAATTCATTTTTTGGATTCATTTTTGTGGTGCTAATTGGATATAAGATGGCATGCAATTATTACCCAATGCTCATGGCCAGAGTGAAGTTAAATCATATCCCACCCTTCTGAACCTGGTACCTTTTCAAGTAGGTTGATACATAGGTGGAAGGAGCAATCGTCTGTGGGGCTTCATTTCCCTTGGCTTCATCCCTCCACAGCTGGCGGGTATAGGAACCACTCCTCACTAGATTAACAGCCGATTCTCTGCATGGACATGACAGAAAAACAAAACGAAACACTGACTCCTACCACCAGTTTTGTCCATGATACAATGCAAACTACGAGAAAAGAGCCAGATAGGCAAATTGTAATATGGCTAAAGAAATAGATACATTTTTCAAGTGGCTCTTTGTTTTACATACCTGTTTTCTATATAGACAAAGGATCAGTTAAGTACTACTATCTCCTTTCTTTTACCAACTTCAAAGCCAACTAATTTCAAAGGGTACTAAATCCTTATGCCAAAGATCTCTAAGCCTTTTTACCCAAGACACGTCCCTTGCCTACAAGGTCATTACTGTGTGGTGGTGAGAGGAGAGAGCTGAGTCTGTCTTGTTTATTGGCATATCTCCATTCATGAGTACAGTGTCAGGCATGTAGGAGATGCTCAATAAAATTTTGCTGAATTGACTCAATATAGATTCCACAAGGTTAATTTAGCTTGTGAATTGTCAGAGTTGAACCATGATCAGTTAACAATAAAGGGGAATTTGAGGCTTCTTAAAAAAAAAGTCTACAACCCTTTTGTAAAAAGAAGTCAGTTTGTCCCTCATTTAGAAAGCTTTGCAAATCAGTCCCCAGTAGGAGGTTATTCATAAGTGAGGAGAGAGGGGGATAGTGGGGAAGATGAGGGCATCTGTTTCTACAGAAGAGGAAAGAGAATGAGGATTTGCTGGAAACCTCCTTAGCATTATAAATGAAAAGGCATCTAGGAGGGGGCTACAGTAGATTTCTAATCCACTCTTGTTAACGTGGAGTCTTTGTTGCAAATGCTACTGGTCTCATGTTTCACAGCTTATCCAGAACAGTCCTTCTCAAAGTTTAATGTGCATCTGAATCACCCAGGAAATTTCATTAAAATGTAGACTCAAAATCAGCAAATCTGAGGTGGGGCCTTAGATTCTGCATTTCTTACATGCTTCTAGGTAATACCAATGCTGCTGGTTGAAGGACTGAACCCTGAGAAGCAAGGCTGTAGATCAGGTTTTGCTCTGAAATGGAATGTTATTCAAAATCCCCAAATTCATTTTAACTGATGAGGAAGACTTGAAACTTAATCTACTTACAAAATTAAAAGTTGATCAAGTCAATTTTTACTGGGATAGGCCCTTGCACTAGGCACTGTGGGTGCTTGAGGAACTAGACAGACACACACCCTACCTTCACAGAGCCTGTAAAGGACTAAACCGACTCCACACTCGGAAGGGTCAGAGACAACTTCCTAAAGGCAAGAGCAGCTGGGCTGGGGTGAGAGCCTGGGCGGCGAAGAACTGTCAGGGCAAGGGAGCGAGGGCTGGGAGGTGTGTTCTGAGCAGAAGGAAGAAGAAGCTGGTGACGTAGAGGGACGCCTGCAGGAAGACGGCAGCAGAGGCTCGGCCGAGCGAGCACTGCCTGCCCAGGAGAGCGGCCGAGGACCACCTTCGGGCCTGTGTGAGGATTACCTGTTCTCCTTCTCTTCAGTATCACTTGTGCTGTTGAGTCTCCGGGGTCCTAGTGAACTAAAATAGCTTTTGTTTTCTCTCTCCTGTAAAATCAAAACAAGTAAAGTACAGGGGAGGTGCAATACTGATACAGAGTAAAACACCTTGGGTAAAAAAGCAGAACTTAATATACCTGCATCTTATTTCTATACGCAGTACCACCTCCATGAGTGGTGGTATCACAAAAGGCTAGTTTTCAAAAGTTAATTCCTAACTTGTCTTCATTAAAAACCAATATACAGGGAAATAATTCTCATGGGAAAATACAGGATAATCAAATAAGGAAAAGAGCAGTGCAAATCACACAAAGCAGCCACCCTGCCAAGAGAGAGGCAGCCTTGGAAAAGCCCCAAACAGAAGCTCCACACTGAAGTTCTGATGAAACTAACCTTATTTCTTTCCCACTATATTCTCCTTGCAATGCAGCTGCGTGCACAGCAAGTATGTCTCAGGGTTAACCTGACCAATATGCCTCAGCCCCCTGAGTAGTCTCTAGAAATGTAATATTGAGCAACGGGATTATAATTGCAAGGAAGACCCAACCCCAGTCAAGAGCATCAAGGGAGTCCTATAAAATGTGGAACCGCAGTGAAAAAATAAAAAGGTACTCATCTTAGATGAATATGCAGATGACCTGTTCATGAAATCAGCCTGACATACAACTACCAATGAAAAATTAAGACATGAAAAAAATTTTTTCTAAGTACTAATTTGCCTGAACTTCATTAGGATTGAAAGCCCAGACAAGGAACTTTGCTTCTAGACATCAAGAATAAACTACTGGTATCGGT